TTGGGTGATAATCGGGTTTTTCAGGCAGCTAAAGAGGAGAAAACACATGGCACTAGTTTTGTCTCTAACTTCATTAGTTTGGCCTTTAGTAGTGAGCAAATAGATGAATTACTTCTGGCTCGTACACAATCCAACTCCCAATCAAAATCGAACTGTACTTTAGCACAGCGAGGTAATTATCATTCTGCACTTATTACAAAATCTGATTCGATCAACCTATGGATACTTGATTTTGGGGCATCGGATCATATGACTGGATGTCACCACTTATTTAAAACTTATACTCCTTGCCCGGGAACCTTTAAAGTGCGAATTGTTGATGGAACTTTATCTTCAGTTGCTGGAAAAGGCACAATATTTTTAACAGACAGTGTAGAATTACATTCTGTCTTGCATGTTCCTAAGCTTATATGTAATCTTCTTTCAATTAGCAAATTAACCAAGGATTTAAATTGTGTGGCTAAGTTCTATAATTCTCGATGTGAGTTTCAGGATTTGATCTCGAGGAAGACGATTGGCAATGCTGAAGAGGTTGACGGGCTGTATTCTTCAATTATGGTGGAAAATCTGTGAATAAACAAGCTCTCACTTCAAGCAGTGAATCTATTCCTATTTTCAATAAAATTATGTTATGGCATAATAGATTAGGACACCCTATCTTTGCTTATTTAAAGAAATTATTCCCCCTCTTGTTTCGAAATAGAAATAGTTGGGGACCATCGAGAGTTGCTAATATTACAGGAGCTAAGTGGTTTGTAACATTCATTGATGACCACACACGTCTATGTTAGACATTCCTATTAAAGGAAAAATCAGATACTGCTAATGCCTTCCAAAACTTCCACAAAATGATCAAAACACAGTTCCAAACACATATTCAAATTCTTCGTACCGATAATGAACTTGAATACTTCAATTCAATTCTGGGCCAATATCTGTCAAAACATGGCATAGTTCATTAAAGCACTTGTGTAGGAATTCCACAACAAAATGGAATTGTTGAAAGGAAAAATAGACACCTTCTAGAAGTCACTAGGGCAATCATGTTTACAAATAATATTCCAAAAAAATTTTGGGGGGAAGCTGTCCTTACAGCATCATACCTTATCAATCGACTTCCTTCATGAGTTCTTAGTTACCAAACACCACTTCAAACATTCCAAAATTTGTATCCTCAAACATGACTTTTCACCTCCTTGCCTATTAGAACATTTGGTTGTCTTTCCTTTGTCCATACATCACACTTAAGTAAATTGGATGCCAGGGCTACAAAATGCATCTTTATAGGATATGCTCCTAATCAAAAAGGGTACAAGTGCTACAGTCCAACATTAAAAAATTGTTTGTTACACGAGATGTTACATTCTTTAAGGAACAATCATACTATAAGAAAACTAATCTTCAGGGGGAGACGCCTAATGGAGAAGATTATCTTAGGGAGTTGAATGTACCACAAAATCAGCCCTTGCCAATATCTATAGATACTCTACAACCAACACCTTCATCACAGCCAATGCCTTCATCAAAATTATCTCCTTTACCTAATATGCCATTAACAAAATCATTGGAAACAGGTACAGATTCGTAGCAGGTTGAAAGTGGTTTCGAGCTTCGTGTTTACTCTAGGAGAAACCAGTCTACACCAATAATACATCCTGTCACATCACTAAAGCATTGCCAAGATGTTGAATCAAGAGAAAATCTGACTGAGGAAACTCGTAGAGCTGAGAAGGAAGAGAATTTAGTTTCAATTGAAGATGTGGACATTGAGAATAATGAACTTAATATGCCTATAGCCCGTCGGAAGAAAACCTGAACCTGCACTCTTCATCCTATTGGGAATTTTGTATCAAATACCAGGTTATCAGCCTCATTCCGTGCAATCAGTGAGAGAATTGGAAGGGAAGAAGTTCCTGGTACTATTTAACAAGCTATCCAGAAACCAGAATGGAAAGAGGCAGTAGTTGAAGAAATGCAAGCTTTAAGAAAAAACAATACTTGGGAAGTTGTGGATTTACCTAAAGGAAAAAAACCCGTGGGATGTAAATGGGTATTCACGATCAAGTACAAGTTGGATGGAACTTTGGAAAGATACAAGGTTCATTTAGTGGCAAAAGGGTTTACTCAAACCCTTGGTGTGGATTATAATGAAACATTTGCTCCAGTAGCAAAACTCAATACCATTAGAGTCCTGCCATCTATGGTAGCAAACTTAGACTGGCCGCTTTGTCAGATGGATGTTAAGAATGCTTTCCTCAATGGAGAACTGGAGAGAGAGGTATATATAAATTTACCTCCTGGGTATGAAGAAAGAAACAAGAATAGGGTGTGTAAGCTGAAGAAGTCACTGTATGGTCTCAAACAATCTTCGAGAGCTTGGTTTGATCGCTTTACTAAGTGTGTAAGGAATAATGGGTATGCTCAAAGTCAGTCAGATCATACACTATTTTTTAAACATTCCATGAGTGGTAAGATCTCAATCTTGATTGTATATGTAGATGATATTATTCTTACTGGAAATGACTTGGAGGAATCAGCAAAGCTCAAGGAAATACTTGGGAAGGAATTTGAAATAAAAGATCTTGGTCAGTTAAGATACTTCTTAGGTGTGGAAGTGGCTTGCTCAAAAAGAGGGATATCTATTTCGTAGAAAAAATATGTCCTTGACTTATTAAAAGAGACTGGAATGCTTGGATGTAAACCTTCTTATACTCCAATCGATTAAAATATGAAGTTTAGTAAGGAAGGTTCTAATCTTGTAGATAGGGGGAGTTACCAACGACTTGTGGGAAAGTTAATCTACTTAGCCCATACACGACCAGATATCTCATTTGCCGTGAGCTTGGTAAGCCAATATATGCACAATCCTTATCAAGAACATCTGGAAGCAGTTTATAAGATTTTGAGGTATTTGAAAGCTACTCCAGGAAAGGGATTATTTTTTGGTAAGACTGATAAAAGATATATTGAGGGGTATACAGATGCTGACTGGGCTGGTTCTGTTGATGATAGGAAGTCAACTTCAAGATATTGTACCATGGTTTGGGGGAATTTGGTTACTTGGAGGAGCAAGAAACAATCTGTGATGGCGAGAAGTAGTGCAAAAGTTGAGTTTCGTGCCTTAGCAAATGGGACCTGTAAACTGCTTTGGCTTAGAAGACTTCTTCAAGAATTGAATCTTCCAAATTCAGACCCCATAAGATTATTTTGTGATAATAAAGCTACGATTAGTATTGCCAATAATTCGGTTCATCATGATCGAACAAAACATTTTTTGAAAGAGAAGATTGAAAGTGGTGTAATTTATATGGCTTATGTCCCAACAACACAAGTTCTGATATGTTGACCAAGGGCTTGGCAAAACCTATCTTTGAGAGCTTACTTGACAAGTTGGGAATGATAGACATTTATGTCCCAGCTTGAGGGGGAGTGTTGACACAAAGAGTTCTTCTATGGCTATCTTCTTGATTATGTTTATTATTAGATAATTTTTTCTATTATATAAGATTCTTTATCCTTTCATAGGATGTAGATAAAATCTTGTTAGGTGTTTGTGTTTATCTCTAATTCTTGTAGTAGGAGTTTGTGTTTATCTTTACTTCTTGTAGTCCTATTAAAACCTCTATATATTAGAGGGATTAAAAGAATAAAATAACTTATGTTATCACAATGATCTACCATTAATTCTCACAGTAACCAATTCAGAGATTTAACTGATCACTTCAAGATACTGAGATGTGTCTCGAATTCACCAGGATTCCGTAAGGCTCAAAGACCTTAGGTCAAAGCTCAATTCAAGTACACAGTAGTGTGGTGAAAGTGTAAAGGATTAAAAAACAAAGAATCAGTAAACAATCACTAAGATTAAACAATAGGCAAAACACAAGAATGAAGAAAAATGTATACAATATACACCAAATTCAAGAACACTTAGTAATATAGCATATATCACAGGTAAAAGATGAGAGAGTTAGAGACTTCGACCAGCAACTTGAGAATCACACAAAGTACCCAAGCATTTTCAGGCTGATTCACCAAGAAATTCAAAATCCAAATTATTCTTGCAAAAAACCACTTAACAACAAATGATAATAAATTAAAAGGGTAAAGGATCATAAACCGAACCAATATTCGTTACCAATCGAATCTAAGGTTACTGCCAATTGTCGGATCTCACAAGATTCGGTCGTGAAAATTAATTTCCCACAACTGAAGATCAGAAATGGAGACTCAAACAACCTATAGAGGCTCTAATACCACTGTTACAGTTCAAGGCCCAAGATCGACTCAAGTATTATAGAACACGGACGAAACCAAAGGCATCAAGTTCTCATCGACTGGGCTCAAAACTAGCATTATAGCTGTCTATACAATGTTTAATAGCTCTCAAACCATAGCCCCAAACCACGACACAAAGGTAGTAACTTAATAGACCAAATCTCTCCAAAACTCCAACACAACCCTTTCAAATTGAAATCACCAAGATTCAACACTCGTAAATTCACCAAAAAAACCAGAAGTTTATGGCCTAAAGAACAAGAATCACAAAGAAGAAGAAATGGCAGTGACACCAAGTCTCGAATGAGAGACGACCTAGAAGATTCCATACATAGCACACGAAGAGACCCAAGAATAATGAAACAAATGGGCCAAAAATATCTCAAACCAACTAATATATAGAAATAGTCATCACCATAGATGTTAGGTTTACGATATCTAAGGGTCCAGAGCCACACACACGTATCATAAGGTTTGGGCCGGGCCATAGCACATTTAAACATTGCGTTATTGGGCAATGTGCTGAGTAGTATATGTTGGATCAAAGTTTCATCATCACCCAAATGGACCGGACCACCAAACAAATTGGCATCACAGCCCAATAGTGAACATGCATGAACGATAATTCTGCAGAATGTAAAGTTGAATTGCTGTGATATAACTCGAAAAGTACAAAAGAAAACAAGATATAAGTCGAAAAGTATGATAAAATACAATATATTATGGATTTCTTTGTTGATGCCATCATTAATGCGGCGGCTGTGCACGTCAGTATGCTAACCATAGGCCGTGTTTTATTGGGCATTGGCGTTGGCTTTGTTAACCAGGTAACATAATCGATTTGTATCAGAATTTACTATTTGTGTTGATTTAAAATTTGGGTCATTAGTATATCTTTGTTTTGATTCTATTAATTACGCAGTCCGCGCCTCTTTATCTATCGGAGATGTCTCCATATAATTGGCGTGGCACATTTAATGTTTGCTTTCAATTGATAATCACAATTGGAATATTGACAGCCAACCTATTCAACTATATCTTTGCTAAGATTGAGGGTGGCTGGGGATGGGGCTCAGCCTGGGATTGGCTGGCGTTCCTGCTGTCATCATCATTGTTGCATCTTTTTTCCTCTACGATACCCCAAACTCTTGTGGATAGGGGAAAGGAAGAGGAAGCAAAAGCACTACTCAAGCGCATTCGTGAAGTTGAAATCGTTGATGCTGAATTCAATGATATTCTTGCAGCCAAGAATGAAGCAAGACTAATGCAGAATCCATGGCAAAATCTCTTCAAGAGGCGGTGCTATCGTCCTCAGTTGGTTATGTCCATCTTGATCCCTTTCTTTCAACAACTTACTGGAATCAACGTGGTTATGTTCTATGCCCCTGTGCTCTTTAAAACCATTGGATTTGGAAGCGATGCTTCTCTAATGTCAGCTGCTATTACCAGCATCATAAATGCCTTGGCGACTGGTGTATCTATTGCATTTGCTGATAAGTGGGGCTGAACAACTCTATTTCCTGAAGGAGGTGTCCAAATGCTCATCTCTCAGGTAATACATTAGCATATTTCTAATACACTTGCAGTCATATTATCTATACATGGTCTTTGCTAAATGCTATCTTTTGCTGATACTTGACGATACAAATTGCAGTTGCAGCACTTATTGGGGCCAAATTTGGTGCGACGGGAGATGTGACGCAGCTACCACAGTGGTGGTGATAGGCATCTGCATCTGTGTTGCTGGTTTTGCATGGTTTTGGGGGCCGTTGGGATGGATCTATCCAAGCAAGATCATCTCATTGGAGATCAGGTCAGTTGGTCAGAGTGTTAACGTGGCGGTGAACATGTTCTTCACATTCTTAATAGCTCAGGTATTTCTTTCAATGTTGTGCACGATGAAGTTTGGTCTCTTCATCTTCTTCGCATTCTTTGTGGCGCCAATGACCGTCTTTTGTCACTTCTTCATGCCTGAGACAAAGAACACTCCTATTGAAGAAATGACGCAAGTCTGGAGAGATCACTGGATTATTAGAAATGATCCTAATGATCCAGTCAATACAGCAATCAAGATGGAACAAGTCTGATTTTGTTAATTAATTAATTTTTATTTTTTATTTTCCAGTTTTTAGTTGGTGTTTGTATCAGAGAACAGATCTATAGCCTTCCCCTTTAGGAAGTAGAGTTACAAACAGTTATTTTTCATAGTTTTGACAATTGCACACTATTTTTTTAATTGGAGTTTGCTTTTAAGTTTGTGTTGTGTTTCACTGATACCATATATTTACTCTTAATTCCATGTTTCTGAACTCCACTATCAAAACACATAAAATTACATGAAATATCATCGAATAGAATTGTTAATAAATTATGCGACATGAAGTTTTCATATTCAATTATAGGACTCATAATTTTGAGGAATTACTTGAATGTATGGGAAAGGATTAGGACAAAAACTGTCACTTTTCTAACTCAGCTAAGTTTAGGATGACTTAAAGAAGAATTATCTTGAGTTTAGCGGATTTTACCCAACTTATGCTTTTTCTTGGAATTTTCTTAACCAACTTATTGACAAATCAATTTATTTTTTTAATACAATAAAAAGATAGTGTTATAAGTTTGTTCCTGTTATATTCAATAAAAAAGTACTGTACAATGGGGTCACATAAATGTACAGATTTCCCTGAGGAAGATTACAGTAATGATCTGAAACTGTAAATTTCATGCAAAAGACTTGCAGAAGTTTCACAAAGATCTACAATGTTGTATTGGAAATTAGCCGAACCTCGTATAAATCTTTTTCTCCCTTCGCTGCACCCACAAATTCACTGATATTAGATTGAAGAGCTCCGACTCAAAATCTATTCTCTTAATGACATGTTCGAGCTTATTTAATATACAATGTATTATCATGCAACTTGAGGTTTTAGAACTTACAAACTTCGGCTGTGATCCCCGGTCCAAAGAAAGAAGTAAATTTGGCCTAGAAATCAGAAAAGTTGCGGAAAAAAAGTTAGGGAGCTTTTTTGATAACAAAAGCAAAGCAACCTTAGAGATTTCAAAGACTTAAAAAGTAAATCTTCTCACCTGTCTTTGTTCAAAATCTGACAACTGCAAGGCTTTCGCCTCAAACACCAAAACTAAACGGTATTTACCATCCTCCGTAACCTCAAAGAGAGAAGCAAATTCATAAGACTAGAAAGAACAAATGAACCGCTCATGGAATTGACAGAGCACAAATCAGGTAAAATCATTTTGTAGTGAAAGCTATTCATATAAAAATATTGGAGTTCCCAGAAAATTTGGCGTCAGCATTTTCCACCACTCTGTTCAGTTCATTTCTAGATCTATGTAATCTAAAGCAACTAGATTTTCAGCGATTTTGGTCCACTCTCTTTTCTAACATGTTATTGTCAATCATGAATGAGAGCCTCTTTTGGCCTACTCATTCATATGAAGTATTAAAACGATCAAAATGCTACTACACGTGCTATAGCTGAAAGCTCAAAGAACAGTATAAATAGTGCTGTAATGCTCGGAAAACAAAGAGAATTTAAGTGGCGTACTTCTTCACGAATCATTTGCAGTACTGGTGCACTCCTTCGTGGAATTCCTCCACCCTGATTGAAAAGCCAAAAAAAACCCCTTTCATATCAACAATCTTCTGATACACATTAAATGCATGCAATGTTTTTGACATGTAAAATTTAGTTTGCACTCGTGGTGAAGGGTGGTTTCATGAACAAATGGATGTTAAAGCAACAAGAAGCAACAGAAGATAATAACATTTGAGCAATTATGAAATCGAAAGTTTTTCAAGCTTTGTAAGTTGTAGTGTATTGGTTTGGCTGTGTTAATTAAAAAAAGACACTCGATCCAACTCCAAACGTCTCTATTTCTCGCTACAAAAAGAATAGGGAAAATAAGCTACAGGAAATGACATTATTTTGAATGAGGAAATTAACTACCATTCCATATTGGAAGATTCGCTTTAAAGCTTCTTCCAAATGTTGCTCGTCCCCATAACGGTATCTTGTAACATCACTTCTGACCTAAAAATATGACAAAATGTCATTCTCACGCAAATGAGGGAGCAAACTAGGCAAACACATGAGATTAACAGCAGTCCACCTTAATATTATTTATTTTTTTGAACAGATTGCCACTTATAATTTAAACCCGAAAATAACTGGAGATGAGATAGCCTTGCCTAGCCTTAGAGAATCGTATAACAAAAAAAGTGAACTTTACCTGCTTGAGAATTGGAGTCGCACATTTTTCCCTCAGCATCTGAGCATCTGAATATGTCAAGCAAGGCACGGGTTTAAGCTCCGCATACTGCAAAATAATGACAGATATCATGAGTCAGGCCATAATATAAAGCAATCATAATTATTTTCTTGAGAACAGCAAATGGAATCACTAGAGTTGTATGCTTTCTCACACATCACCTAATGATTAAAATGTAAAAACCAGTTCCAATGAATAAAAAGTATGTAGAAGTGAATAACCTGGCATTAAAAACCAGTAGGAATCAAATACTCTAAAATGAAAATTTTACATTAAAAATTGGAAGAAAATCAGATTAACCTTGAGAGCCATGCCGATGATGGCTAGAGGAAAGCCATATGTCAGCATCAGTGCAGACCATTCAGATCCTGAGAGAATATTAAAATATGCACCAAAACCATAACTGCATTGTGCACAGAAGCCCAAGTCAAGATTTATGATACTTTTCATGTCATATATGCTTTTGGAAATGAAGGGGCAAAGAATAAAAATGACTGAACTTCAAAATTTTTGTTTAATATGATGTAGACAACAATGAGGAAAAGAATGAATATTGAAGAATTGAAGAAAATTACCAATCAATGGTCTGGTTTCTAGGATATGACAAGAAATTCCACTGCTACACAATCTATATATGGAAGCCAATATGAAACTACAAATAAAATCCAATAGTATCGCTTGACTTTTTCCTATACAATTCTCTACCAAGCAACCAGCAGTCCAACCAATGACCTAGTTTCTTGGTTGGGTTGATGCATTGGTCATGCATGAAAATATAATGGTATTGAGTGAGACTTAATTGGCTGGTCAAGCAGCAATATGGTCAATGTAGATGAGAAGTTATGATGTAACATTGAACTTGTAGTACTGTTTATCGTGATTGAGTCACTAGTTGCTTACGTGATGTCCATACGAATACCAACATGAAATGGCATCATGAGGTGGATTAGTTCGTCTTATCTATCTTTGTGTACAATTCATCTATTTTTTCAATTTATAATTATTGAAATGTAGAGGACATATAAAATTTTCGGGAAACAACAGTTGTTCCATCTCAATAATGTCCCCTATGGGATATAGGTCTAGTTTCTTTCAACTGTAATGGTTGTCCAACAAGAGCAGAGTGTTCCATGCATAAACAATAAAATATACTTACGAGAGAAGTGAAACTCCAAGGCCCAATCCAATGACACCAAAAGAGACCTGAACATAATAGTTAAAAGTTAGTTATTATAAAGGAAAACTGCGTAAAATTGAGTAAAAAAAGGATCACATCACGACAAACAGATCAACTTCTTGATTCATTAAAATCATGTAAATTTATTATAAATACTAGAAGAAACCAAATTTATTATAAATACTAGAAGAAACCAGAACTAATTTGGTTTCCATGTATTTGATTCTCATTTTAGTTCTTCAATTAGCCAAATGGCTTGGTTGTAATCTATCCATGTGGCTGAAAGCCCTCACAACCTAGACACGATGACACAATTATCAGGGAAGAGCTGAACTAATAGCTAACTGGTCCAATGGGAGCAAAAATTTCTAGGAACATTTCGTTTCGAAGTAGAAGAGTCATTCACAAGTAGTGTCCGATTAGTTAATCCTAATCAATATTCAATTGATTGTTCTATTACCTCTAAAAAGAATGATCTCAGGCATCTAAAGAGAGTTTAGTAACTTTCCATTTACACGAGAAATAGCCTTATCTTATTAAAGGAAGAGGAAGAACCCGACCTTCGGTATCTTGCTGCTCTTTCTGCTTCTGAAGCGGGATCTCTATTAGCTAGAGAAGTTTCAGGTACTATTATAGTTTTTAAGGTGTTTGTGCAATTGACTTGTTGGTTGGCTTAATTACGCTATAAAGGCTTGTAGCTAAAAGTAGTCTTAATAGTTTTTCTCTTCCTCTCCCCCTCATTCCATCATCCGTTCCTCGGCAGGTCAAGCTATTTAACCCACTCCCTTCGGTCTAGGAATGCCCTTAGGAAGTGACTTGGAACACTCCGTAAGAAATGTATACACTTCATATAAACTAATAAGGAGGGAACTAGCACAGACTAAGGCCTTTGGCTTCTCTCGCGCATGCATAAAACTTTACACTGAAATATGCCTTTTTGCTAGCGGAAACTTTAAGGGCTTTGAGACGAACTGAGTAATGCCTGAGCTGCATCAAGGTCTGACTC